TTGACTACCAGTACACATCTAACGAGCCTAGCTAATACTGTTTTAGTGATCCACTGTTGTAAAATGTCAACAACATATGAAGGCCTTGACTACAAGTACACATCTAACGAGCCCAGCTAATACTGTTTTAGTGATCCACTGTTGTAAAATGTCAACAACATATGAAGGCCTTGACTACCAGTACACATCTAACGAGCCCAGCTAATACTGTTTTAGAGATCCACTGTTCAAGGCCTTCATATGTTGTTGACATTTTACCGTCTAGAAATCTAATTCTTTAAAAGTATTGGATATTAAACTGAAATATTTAAACGTGTGTTGACAATTTCTCTAATTTTGACATTGTACTCATGATAAAATATTTGAAACAACTAGTTTTCATTGCCAGGTGGCTGCAGTCCATCTGTATAGCTAGTTAGTCTTACTGGGCTCATTAGATGTGTACTGGTAGTCAAGGCCTTCATCTTCTGACATTTTACCACAAAGGAACACTAAAACAGTATTAGCTAGGCTCGTTAGATGTGTACTGGTAGTCAAGGCCTTCATATGTTGTTAACATTTTACCACAAAGGATCACTAAAACAGTATTAGCTGGGCTCGTTAGATGTGTACTGGTATTATAAAATTTAAGAATGCATGAATCCTGTCTTAAGATTCCAAAAGTCTTAAAAACCATCACCTGTTTCTGTATCAAGTTGTTTACTGTGAAAAATCCCATTTGGTCAGCGAGTTTGTGATACTGGCCAACATTATGACCTTTATTTTTTTTAATTGATATTAGTAATTACTGGAACTCATTTGTTTCTTAACATTCCCGTTACAGTATAAGATGTTGTATCAAGTGTACAGTACTGTTTGTGTTAGAAACACATATGTTGTAATTTATTCTGTACAGATTTAATGGTGCAGTGTTTAGTAGACAGATTGGAAATAAAGGTGTCTCAACTGTCAAACCACTAAAGATTCTCAGTTGTCCACAAACTTCAAGTGATGAAAATAGAACACAGCACAGTTGATAATATATTTTAAACTCACTGAATACTGACAGAGTAACTTAACTCTTTAAACCCATCATTTTGTGCACATTCTGCCAGAATTATCACCATACCTTATAAAATTTCTGGTCTATTTATACAAAGTGGATAATAACATGGTTTGGATTAGTTTTAATCCAGACAGACAAATGTTATCAGATGTTGTCACCAGATTTTCAGCATCCTCTCGGGTTTAAAGAGTTAATAACGATAATAAACGATTCAATTACCAAAACAAGGGTATTGTACAACAGTCTTAAATTACTACCAGAAATACACGTCCAACACAGCATACTTATCAAATCCTTATTATCACTAATTTACTTTAAATATTAATTTGGTTCCAAGTGGAAACAAAATGATAAAAACCAGTTTGTTCTGGAGAATGACTTTTTTATGTAAGAATATGGGAAGTGTTTGTATATTACAACTATATATAATAATATACATGTTTGTTAATAAAATATCGTGACTATAATATTGAAAAATTTAAGCAGTGGTTTTGGTTTAAAATATAGGGTTATCTTCATTTGTGTAAGTTTTTAAGGGTTTTTTTCCCCTCCGTTGTATTTTCAGTAAAAATAATTGAAATTAAAATGTTTTTTTTACCAATTTTACTTGTAACTCTAAATTAAGTTTAACAAATTCTAAGTTATAGATAACTGGATGAGACAAACTTAACTAACCAGCCAATGAAAGTGCAGCATGTGGGGGAAAGTTTTAACTATTTCACTTATTCCATGGACATAAACTGAACCTAGATTTCTCTATTACGTATTTCATTTTCAATATAGTTATTCTAAAATCTCCTCAGATTGGTTAACTTTATATATTTATAATGTCTTTACATGGCAGGAAAATTAAAATTACATTCAGTCATTGTAATCCATTTCGCTTTAACGATTTTTGTAATGAGATACTTCAACATTGGATAAATCAGGATTTTTCAGTTGGACACTACCAGCATCTGATCGGGTTTAAGGAGTTAATTCAACTGTTTGGTTTCAGGATTCTTTATTGCTAAATGTATGAAGATACTTGACAAGAAATAAATAAAAAACAGTATGAAGCATTTATCCATTTGAAAAATTATGTTTATCATTTTATTTAGAAAAGTGCTTCTGAAATCAAAAATTAAATTTATCACCATCACACACAAGGAAAACAGAACACATAAATCATTTATACTTTCACCCCCGACCTTATGAATATATTTTGGTCAATTCAATGTGAAGTGAACATCCAACTGGATGGGTCACTGAAGGATAATGAATAGCTTTACTGGAGTAGAAAGATTTTTTAATACAGTCAACATTCTTTCAAAATCCGCTAACTGGATGACCTACTCCTATGAGTTGAAACACTTTTACTACTGTTTCCTACCGTAAATGTTTATTATACTTCAAAAAATAAAATAAACAGAACAGTAATGTTTTCATTAATCCTATCGTATGATACTAGTAAACAAAGAATTCTAGTAAATATTAATATTAGTGAATCCACATTAACTCCATTCTTAGCTCTCAAAACAACAATAATAAAGAAAGAGGTCATTCATTATATCGGCACAGCCTAACAAAAGTACTTAAATAGTTTATGTTGGAGAATTCTGAAAAAGTAAACTGTAGATTAAAGCTAGCACTGATTGAAAATACCCAATCATATTAACTTCAAAGATAAATAAAAGATTATAAGACAGAAAACCATATTACCTGGCCCACTCAACATTGCTTTGATAGTTCCCGATGTTAATGCATGCTCCCTTTTAATAATAAATTCATGTCCATCAGAAGAGATCAGCTTCACATACATTGCATCAGGCCCTTCACACCCACCGTGAACTTTGTCTTCATTTTGTCTGTCATCTGACATGTTGCAGAAGGCCAAAACTAAAACACTCCAGGTGTGATTGTTTATCTAGATATAAACACATTCTTTGATATCTGTTCCTAAAAAATCATGTAACTTACAAAGCTAAAAGTTTGTATAAAAATATCTTAGTTTCAGTGTTACTTTGTTCACTTTAAAACACTTGTTTTTTATTGATTTGTTATAAGAATTGCTGTTACTATTAAACAAGAGGAATCATAATTGTTATACACATCAACAGTCTATAGGAACACAAACAAGGGTAATCATAATTGTTATACACATCAACAGTCTACAGGAACACAAACAAGGGTAATCATAATTGTTATACACATCAACAGTCTACAGAAACACAAACAAGGGTAATCATAATTGTTATACACATCAACAGTCTACAGGAACACAAACAAGGGTAATCATAATTGTTATACACATCAACAGTCTACAGAAACACAAACAAGGGTAATCATAAATGTTATACACAGATCAACAGTCTACAGGAACACAAACAAGGGTAATCATAAATGTTATACATAGATCAACAGTCTACAGGAACACAAACAAGAGGAATCATAATTGTTATACACAGATCAACAGTCTACAGGAACACAAACAAGGGTAATCATAATTGTTATACACATCAACAGTCTACAGGAACACAAACAAGGGTAATCATAATTGTTATACAGAGATCAACAGTCTACAGAAACACAAACAAGGGGAATCATAATTGTTATACAGAGATCAACAGTCTACAGAAACACAAACAAGGGTAATCACAATTGTTATACAGATCAACAGTCTACAGAAACACAAACAAGAGTAATCATAATTGTTATACAGAGATCAACAGTCTACAGAAACACAAACAAGGGTAATCACAATTGTTATACAGATCAACAGTCTACAGAAACACAAACAAGGGTAATCATAATTGTTATACAGATCAACAGTCTACAAAAACACAAACAAGGGGAATCCTGATTGTTATAAAGATCAACAGTCTACAAAAACACAAACAAGGGTAATCATAATTGTTATACAGAGATCAACAGTCTACAGGAACACCAACAAGGTGAATCCTGATTGTTATACAGAGATCAACAGTCTACAGGAACACAAACAAGGGTAATCATAATTGTTATACAGAGATCAATAGTCTACAGGAACACAAACAAGGGTAATCATAATTGTTATACAGAGATCAACAGTCTACAGAAACACAAACAAGGGTAATCATAATTGTTATACAGAGATCAACAATCTACAGGAACACAAACAAGGGTAATCATAATTGTTATACAGAGATCAACAGTCTACAGGAACACAAACAAGGGGAATCCTGATTGTTATACAGAGATCAACAGTCTACAGAAACACAAACAAGGGGAATCATAATTGTTATACAGATCAACATTCTACAGAAACACAAACAAGGGTAATCATAATTGTTATACAGAGATCAACAGTCTACATGAACACAAACAAGGGTAATCATAATTGTTATACAGATCAACAGTCTACAGGAACACAAACAAGGGGAATCCTGATTGTTATACAGAGATCAACAGTCTACAGAAACACAAACAAGGGTAATCATAATAGTTATAGAGATCAACAGTCTACAGGAACACCAACAAGGTGAATCCTGATTGTTATACAGAGATCAACAGTCTACAGGAACACAAACAAGGGTAATCATAATTGTTATACAGAGATCAACAGTCTACAGGAACACAAACAAGGGTAATCATAATTGTTATACAGAGATCAACAGTCTACAGGAACACAAACAAGGGTAATCATAATTGTTATACAGATCAAAAGTCTACAGGAACAGAAAACTTAATTGGTTGAAGGCTATCGTTCAGATGAAAATATGTCAATAAGGAAACAAAACTCATATCACTATTTCAATACAAAGTGGCCATATAAATTGGTGTGTACCTTTGTTCACAAATATATTTAATATTAATATGATGGTTTTACAGTTTGAAGATTATATTAAATATCAATTTTTGGGTTCATTGATTAATTCTATACAACTAACCAATTATTCTCATGAAACTTGGATATTTGGAATAATTGAAAATAATAACAGGAAGCACAAATTTCAATTAGTTGATTATTTTAATGAGTTGTGACATTAACTGATTAATCTGAACAACTATGAATTAATCAAAGGTAATGAAAAATCATGATCCCAATATTTTGATTACTTGGATAGTTGGAATAATCAGAAACAATAACGTCAATTAAATGATTATTTTCATAACATTAAATGATTTAATTGTAATTTCATGGGACACTAATTGATGTTATCAATAAGTAATCAGTTATTAAGTTATATCAATTAATCAAGTTAATTACCCTGATGTAGTGAAGATACAAGGGGCAGCAAGTTATCAAATATATTTGTAATCATGTATGTACAAGTTTTTGTGGTACTGTACTGAATGCAAAGCTGTCATTTACCATAGAGATATTACACTGTTTTCCACTGCAACAAATATTTCAAGTTTCACACTATAACCTACTATAACTTAGTTGTTTTTTTATATTCTTCAATCCATACATTGTTCAAGTACTTTCTAACCTTACTCTGTAACACAGTTCCCAAAATGCCAGGTTTTGTTTAGCTCACAGGTATAACTATAAGCACTGAGGATCTGACACTAGCCTAAACTGTTTGAAATACTCCAATTTCAAACATGTTTTTAGGCTATTATCAATTTCTTTACTGTTACTGTGTCTCTTTCTTTGAGCAATACATGTCAGATGTCTAGAATTATGCTCTTATGTTGTTTATAAATATTGTTATTTGTCCATTTTTCAAACAACCAAAATAAGCTACTTAAAAATGTTTATTTAAATTGACAAGAAATAAAACAATGTCTCACAAAATTACTGGGATTAGAACAAAAATTTTAAAAATCCCCCAACTTTTGAAATGAATTTGTACAGACTTCAAATTAATACTTTGGTGCAAAAAAGGTAGAAACCTAAAAAAATAAGTGAACAAAATAAACAATTGACAGTAATAAAGGGTTTGACTGAATTTTAAATAGTGAAAATAACAAAAAAAAAGTACACTATTGGATTCCACAGTAAAAAATGAGTAGACTTGCACTACAATTTGAATTATTTATTTAGTAATTAATGAAAAACAATTAATAAATGTACCTAGAAACTGATGTTTCCCACCATGAAAACGTCTAACTGAAACAGTACAAATAAAATTGCTTTACCTGGTAACCAGAGACATTGTATGAAACTTGTGACAATGCAAGATAAAATGTAATCCTAATAAAATACTTCAATTTAAACCCTATACGTGTGAATTTATATTATATTGATAAATGAAATGAAACTGTTAACAACCAAATGTTGAAAATCAAGTATGAACTTACATATTTACCTATTAAACTTAAGGAGAGATTTTTGTATTCAACTGGTTTCATGATTGACAGATACATACCTGTTAGGTGGTAAAGCAAACTGTTGTCAAGGCAACATATTGTCTGCTTACAGTTCCAATTCATCTGGATTTTTCACATGCTGTAAGTTGGAATTGGGCAGACATACATACATACATATCAGTTCAAGAATTGTGTAATACGTACCACACAGTATATTGTATGGCTTCAAATTCAATGATTAATGAGAATTTTTTAATGGTTTTAGGGATTTTTTGTGTGTGTTTCAAATAAAAAAGCTTCTGGATAAAAAAACAACAACAACCCAGAACAATGAAGAGAGCTATCATTTAATATATCACTGATTAATATTGGCCAAGCACTCACTTGCAAACACCCTGTTTTGGTGCTTCACCCACTGGTTGCTGTTTGATGGCAGAGAAATGTTTAGCAATCATTCTTATAGTTAATTTACAACTAGTGGGAGTACAGCTGTCTTTAATAAAACAGTGCAAACTCAGCATGTAATAGTACTGTAGACATTTTTCATTTGTTGTTTCGTGTACAGTAATTTAGTATTTTGATTATGGGAGATTTATATATTTGCAACTGCTGTTATTGTATTTTTGCATTAACTAATTAGTAGATTCCTCACCAAATATTAAATAAATATTTGTGTGAAAATAAGGACCAAACAAAAATTGCTATTTATTTTAAACTATAAATGTATTTTCATGAACATTTATTTATATACTTTATTTTTTTCAAACAAATGATGTTATTTACACGAATTAATCAGTAACAATTAAGTTTAAAATCTAATGGTAAGCCTTGATACCCCAAATTGTTTTATTTCATTAATCTTATGTGATAATGATCTTTTATAATAATGGAGCTTAACCCTAAGGTTTACTTCTATCTCTCAAAAGCCTTAAGTTACCATAAGTTTTTCTTTCACACTTAATATTACAAAATTTTAATTACTAGTATTAATAATACTGTAATGTCTAAGACATAGTAAGTAACATATCATAGCGTTATTCAGTATACACAATCTACCGAACAGTGAATACTAATTCTACTACCCAATTTCTAAATTTATTACAACTGTTAGTGTTAGTCAGTCATTAAACGAATGTATTAGTAACTATTACATTTCAACTGTTAGCTTTATCTTCGAATAAAGCTGATTTAAAACTAGTTAACTACTGCTTATTATGAGGATAAAGGTGAATTCTGGCTGTTACCGTACAAAAACAAAGAAAAAAAGGAGTACAACGTCTAATTCATGGAAATTATATTAGGCCTAACATTAAGAATATTAGTCTACTTAACTTAAGTTACACTGCTAGTACTAGTAGTAGTAACTGCTATGCACTGACGCTTGGTACTATAGTATAGTATTAATAATCAACTTTATTAACCCTACTTATTACTACTACAACTATTCCTGCCAAAATATTGAGCTTTAGTTTTTACATTGTAAATTAAAGTGGTGGTACGTAGTAATAACAACAGTAGTACTAGTAAAGTAATCGTCTTCCAACTTCCAACAAACTAAAGAGGTATATAGTTGCTAATATTATAGCTCTCTTATAAATGAAGTACTGTATTTCGCATTTACTTTTTTGCAACACAGATTCAGTGTAATATCCAAATCAGAGACAAAAGAAATAAAATCACATTTATTTTAGTTTTACTAACCTTCGAAATCAAACACCACACCACTAGATACGCTAAGCGCGCCCTCTAATAGAGATTGTCAGGAACGTTAATGTACCAATCACATGTTATACTCATTTCCACGTGACGTAAGTGAAACAAAGTTTTTACTTGGAGTAACTTAATTTCGGACTTCCAAGAATAATTATAAAATTATTTTTCAAAACGTCTGCATTAAAGAAAAGTTACCAATGTTGCTTATAAAAGAATAAAAACGCAAAATTTAGCTCTGTTTGAGTAGGACGTAACTTGACTCCACCATTCTCAAAATATTTTAATGCTGATTTTGACACTATTACACGTAAAACCACTTATACTATTGCACCATCAAACCTACTTTAACACGCCATCACAAAAACAGCTAATAATTTAGCTATATAACACAATAGGTGCAGACAACAAGAAACCGTGTGGTCCTTCAAATCTGTTTTTACACTCCCTCCCCAAACAAAAAAAAAAGCAAACTAAGCTCGCCCTTTATTTTCAGAAAATCACCGCTTTTCCTCTATTGTGAAGTGCCATTGATAATCCTAATTTCAATAGCAACTTTCTTAACAAAGTTCATCTCACACACACACAAAACCTCAGTTTTGTTAACTCACATATAATGGACAAATGACACCCGAATTCGGCCTCGCAAAATTCGCAAAAGTCAGAAAATTACCCTTCTAACAATGAAATTCGACAAGAGAAAAAAGCACAGCCTCTGTACCAACCTGCAGAAACTAGACACATCACTGAACTTTCTGATCACTTTGTGGTCATTTCAATTTTATTCCTTCATCGGTTCGGGATTAAAAACCCGAAATCTGTCGCACACAAGACAAGTGCTCTACCAACGGAACTAAAGGGTTAATTCCTCAGAAACTGCTATTTTTAATAAATAAAATTACCACAATATCACGTGAGAATGTGTACTTTTAACAATTAATTCTCTTTTACTCTGACGTGAGAAGCACGACGTCGCATTGTCTCATTTCATAAGTGACACTGATGGTGAGTTTTGTCATTAGTGTTTCATTACTTTACAATTTGCACATTCATTGTTGTACTTTAGCCACATCTGCACATTCGCATGCCAAAGCACTCTTGGATTCTCGTTAATCAGTAAACTTCACGCAAATCATGATGGAATTACTAAGACAATATTGAATCAGACGATCAAAAACGTGAATTTGATGAGGCACCCTCAGCTCTAAATGGGAGACAGAGAATGACAAGAATGAGTTGTTTTTGTCTCTTTAACTTTGAGCAGACTTTCAAGAATGTCCTGAATTAGCATTGACAGGAACTTCTACCTGTAGCATCACCTTTCAGAAGCAACGAACCACAGCTTGGCTCTTGATAATTAATCAGTTTGCTGCATATTCAAACCAGAGGAATATGGAGGTTTAAGGTCGGCCTATTGCTGGGTCAAATAATATATTTTTTTCTATGCAAGTAAACTGTAAACTTAGTTTTCAAAACGAAATAAATAAATAAAAATCAAACTGCATACATTAAAAACAAATCCATCATTTATGTTATAACTTTTAGTCCAAAAACAAAATAATAAATCACGTCTCTTTAATACTTAAAACACAATTTCAAAATCTATGTCACAACAAACCTTGAGTCAAATTTTAAGAATACAATATAATACATTATACAATATGAAAACACCATTTAACAATGAATAGATAACAATAACCTTTCACATTGAAAAGCAATGCGCAAGCTTGCAATATGTATTATCATCAGGTCCTCTGACATAAAGCTTGTTTGTTTGTTTGTAATTGTAGACAAACCTACACAATGGGCTATCTGTGTTCTGTCCTCCACGGGTATCGAAACCCGGTTTCTAGCGTTGTAAGTCCGCAGACATACCGCTGTGCCACTGGGGGCTGACATAAAGCGCTTGTGAACTCTGTATAATTACATTATTGTTACGACAGCAAAAATCACGTGACGCTGCTGGCGCTGGTAGCGTGCGTAATGTTTCTCGAATAATCGGGGAAGTCCGAGATGCCCTCTTCGTTAGTATATAAGCCTGGCTGAGAAAGCCAGCGGGGTTAATGAAGAGAGAACAGTAGTTCCGTTTAATTTGTGATTCTGTTAGTTTCGAGCTAGTGAGCCGTAAAGTATGTGTTTTGTACTCGTCGAAAGCAAAGTTATCGAGATTGTGAATCGCTGTGATTTATAGCGTGTATTATAAAAGTTGTTAGGTTTAAAGTGACGAGAAACGTACTAATTGTGAAACTTATGTGTACTAAGAGTTTTTATCGAGGAAGAATAAACTGGTTTAATCAAGAAAGGACTTGTATCACTGAATATCGTCGGAAAGAATTTCTACCGGAAACAACCAAACAAGCAGATATGTAACATTATTAACAGATCCTCTGTCATGAAGCAGTTGTGAACTCTGTATAATTATAATATTTTCTTATGGAGAAACTCTCTCAAGTACTCCTTTTTAACTAACACTACGGATTTGACAAGCCATTCTTGCTAAGTTTCCTTTCTATGCACCAATCCTTTATTATGTTTTCTCTGTCTATTATCTCCAATTTGTTTATTCTTCGTTTGGTTTTTGATCTTTCTCATTATAGGCTATTTCCTGATTCTGTAATGTGCTGGTATTACAACAACCACATTTTTACAATTTACTTTTAGCATAATAGCAGAATTTCAAGTAGTTAAAGGTACTTCAGACAGTTCTGATTTCTTTTGTTTCAATTACATAGAGTGCCTCACCTTTTTATTTTTAAAGATACAATTTTATTTACTTATTTTCTAAATTTGCAATTCCTTCCACTTGTCACGGTCAGCTTTTATTTCCAATGTAACTTAAGCTTATAAAATATTTGTCTTCGTCACATGAAGTAGGTCCTTAAACCTTTAGTTATAGTGGTGACCAGGTGTCTTTGTGCTTTATTATTTGATCTATTTTAGTAAACTTAAGACCATAATCTACTTAGAATATTGTTATATGCTATATTTTTATGTCGTGAATTAATTGTTAGCTAGAGGGAACTGTGAATCTTAATGATGAAGTTAAGATCAAGAAAGTCCTAGAAATAGCTAGAACAAGTGTAGATACAAGTACGACGCTTCGTGAAGCATCGAGAGGTTATTATAGAGTGAATTGAAAGAAAGTCGAGGAGATAATACGTATGGTTATTTCAAAATTGTGAATCAGTCAGTCAGTGTGTTAGCTATCGCGGTTAACTTTGTAGTTAACGTCATTTGTAACGCAAGCCTACAGCAAGTTGCAAGGTGTACAAGTGTTTAAATTCAAGCTTGTAGAAACGTTAAAAAGGAAATAAATTAATTTATTATCGTTATGTGGACTAGACGTTGAATTATTTTCACCAGCCAGTTTAAAAGAACTCGCCAACCAAAGAACTACGCTACTACAATATTGTAACGGTTGCTTACTGAAGCTAAATCTGTGTTTATTTGACATATCTTAGTTAACTTTAGGTCACAATCTTCTAACGTTATTTTAACAGTTGCTTATTTAAGCTAAGTCTGTGTTTATTAGACGTACTTCAGTTAACTTTACGCCACGATCTTCTAAGGTTATTGTAACAGTTGCTTATTTAAGCTAAGTTTGTGTTTATTAAACGTACCTTTGTTAACTTTAGGCCACAATCCTCTTAGGTTATTGTAACAGTTGCTTATTGAAGCTAAGTTTGTGTTTATTAGACGTACCTTTGTTAACTTTAGGCCACAATCCTCTTAGGTTATTGTAACAGTTGCTTATTGAAGCTAAGCTTGTGTTTATTAGACGTACCTTTGTTAACTTTAGGACACAGTCCTCTTAGGTTATTGTAACAGTTGCTTATTTAAGCTAAGTTTGTGTTTATTAAACGTACCTTTGTTAACTTTAGGCCACAATCCTCTTAGGTTATTGTAACAGTTGCTTAATAAGGATGTGTTTTAATTTACCGTGATTCAAGAAAATGTTTTACAAAGATAAACTAACAAGTTCTCAAATTTTTCCACTGGAACACTGCAAGAACAGAGTTTTTTGTGTATAAGTAAAAAATAATTTGTTGGAGCAGAAAAAAATCTTTCAAATATCTTAGCAGTGATCTTAACGTGATATTTGAAGTATTTATATGCATTCTTTGTTGTAATGAAATTTTTAAGAAATGATCTTGAATATGATTCAGGGGCCTGGCATGGCCTGGTGGTTAGAGCACTGGTCTCGCAATCTGCTGGTCGCAGGTTCAAATCCACATTATCGAACATGCTTGCCGTTTCAGCTGTAGGGGGTTATAATGTGACTGTCAATCCCACTATTTGTTGGTAAAAGAGTAGCCCAAGAGTTGGTGGCGAATCATGTTAGTTAGCTGCCTTCCCTCTAGTCTAGCATTGCTAACTTGGGAACGTATAGCACATATAGCTCTCGTGTAACTTTGTACAAAATTCAAAAACGAACAAACAAAATAATACTTTCAATAACTGGTGAAAAATAAATTATTGGTCAAATTATGCGACATTTACTAATTAGTTACAAGACATCTTGATAGATGGCAGCACACAAATTATATCTTTTTCACATTTTTACGTCATGCCAAGGCAATGTCGCAATGTACACTCCTAGTAGGTGTATACGAAACAACATCTGCCTTCTAAGTAATGGCTGCTTTTATTTAATACAATATTAACAAATCGTTTTGCTTCTTGTTAAACAGTAGATCTGCATGGATGTGTGGGAAACCTTGAGTTCACCAATCAAGGTAAAAGTTCTTATATTGCCCTAAGCTAGACTTTTACTTTTTCCAATTACCAATTGTATTAAAGCTCTTCTACGAGTTGTTTAAAACGTTGAACGTTTTGTCAACCACAAAAATAAAACAAGTGTCTGTTGATAGTGAAATAACAAATAGGCTGAGTTGCGGGTTTTATATGATTAAACATACATAAACTGATATATATATAGTACGTTTTATATCTGCAGTATTAAAATCGAAAACAATTATTAAATAATCCACAAAATAGTGATGCCACATACAGCCGCTAGGGTCTTTATTTATTTATTGTTAAATTAATTATGTTAGTGACATAATTCTTTATCTTTAGTTATATAGTATCATGGGTTATAACTTAAAATACAATATCAGCAACTAATTCACATTATTAATATTATCAGAAAAAAACACATTTAATGAATAGATAGATTTTCAAACCAAAAACAAGCAGAACTAAATGAAATAAATATGATTTACACGCTAAAGGAGTTCTATCACAGCGCATCCGTTAGTGCTCAGCCCAGGTAGCGTACGCCGTTCCTAAGATTTGTTTGTGTGTATTGTTTTTATACGCGCAAAACTATACAACTGAGCTTTGGCCCGGCATGGCCAGGTGGTTAAGGTGCTCGACTCGCAATCTGAGGGTCCGTCACACCAAACATGCTCGTCCTTTCAGCCGTGGGGGCGTTATAATGTGACGGTCAATCCCACTATTCGTTGGTAAAAGAGTAGCCCAAGAGTTGTCGGTGGGTGGTGATGACTAGCTGTCTTCCCTCTAGTCTTACACTGCTAAATTAGGGACGGCTAGCGCAGATAGCCCTCGTGTAGCTTTGCGCGAAATTCAAAAACAAACAAACAATTGAGCTATTTGTACTGTGCACACCGCGAGTATCGAAACCTGATTTTTACCATGATAAGCCTCAGACTTGCCGCTGAGCCACTAGGGATCCGACAAGAAGAAAGCAACCAATCGGCAGCAATCACTTTTATTTCGTCATCATTTGGAGCTGTATATCTTCTTTTTTTAACGTCAGAAACTGAATGTAAATAAACCTATTTTAATACTGTTACCTCTATTGCTGTTATGAGCTTAAAAAGCTTGACACACGCCCCCCCAACTTGGTTTTAAGTAATACCTGTCCTATCCACTTTAAATGTTCGACTCGTAATCTGCGGGTCGCGGGTTCGAATCCCCATCCCACCAAACATGCTCGCCCTTTCAGCCGTGGGGGCGTTATATTGTGACGGTCAATC